GGCTGCAAAAATAATCCATGCACCATGGGACACCACAATTTCGATGTTTCATGGGGACGCTTGCAACACTAGGTTCATCCACCAAACTAGAAATCGCCCCCTTCAAATATACCGGCAGTTTTTACCTAAGCAATGTACGAATGACTCGCATGCACCATTGATGGTTTGGCCCTTCGTAGCTTAGGTTGCACCTGTCGATCTTGACTGCGGTCACCCCACTGCAGAGTTGGGCAAGCTTCTGGAGCCAGCACAGTTGCCAAAGCCAGTCGAGCCCAACACTGCAGAGCCGCCCAAGGCTCCAGGTCAGCCAGTTGAGCCGCCTGCCGGAGAAGGAGGTTTACCTACCGAACCTATCATAATGCACGTTGCGACCATGACCAGGAGTGAGAAAGAAAAGGTCAGGAGGCTAGTGAGTCCTAAACCTACTACTGGTAACCTTTCCGTGCCCCGTGACGTCTTCGACCTGTGGCAAGCAGCAAAGGGCAAGGAGCAACTATTGGGCATGTGGTGCAAGTCTGGTGGTATGAAGGCAAGGTTCACGCATGGAATGATTGGGAAAAGTTATGTCAAAACATGTTTCATCATGCGAGTGCCACTTAGTTCTGATCGCAATGCTTTTGAATGCAGGATGTTTTCCTTCAACGTGTGGAAATTCTTTCGACAACAACTAAATCCAAGAAGATCGAAGTCAAGGGTGGGTTTTACACGGAGGAGGATATGAAGAACGAGCTGGGTTACAGTGCGTTCAATGGCTGCACAATATGCATGACATGTGCACAGCATTGTTCCCACATGTTTTTACAATATCAGTTTTCGCAGCAGCAGCAGCAACCCATGTGGCCCATAAACAAAAGATTTCGATTCTAGTGACTGAGTCATGTAATTCGAACATGGGTCTCGTGGGTTGGTCGTTCAGGACAGTACTTGTCGAGATTTGCATGAGAAACTATCCAAACATGACATCAAGGTTCCGGTTGTCCAGCAAACCTCCTTCCAAGGGAGCGTATCGAGAAGATCAAGAAGTGGGCCACTGCAAATAAGCTGGTGAGGTGGGAGACCTTGCGCCCATGCAAAAGCAATGTGCAGACTAGCATCATGTTTGCAAAAGGAAAATGTATGGATAAGAATTCTTGCGTGCACGCTATATAAACTGAACAACCTTTAACACATATCCTTGATTTTTGGCAGGGTGTGCGAATATGACGAGACTGTGCTGGAGTATTGGGTCAACATCAGGACCAGTGGTACTCTATCGAGGGAGGACCTTCAGAGGTTGTCAGTGTCACAGTTCCATGAAGGTGAGGCAACTCCAGGATTAGCCTCAATTGGTGACGACATGCATGTTGCTGGGGGATTTGCTGACCTTGGTGCGGCCGTGGACGTGGCAACGGAAGGGGATGCCAGCATGCAGGTACCTTCATGCATGCATAACATGTTCAGCGGTCCAACTTTCCCATGAACCAGGCCTGTGCTAAGCTTCCACTTGTTTTCATCTAAGGTAAAATCTAAGCTGCAATTGTACCTCAAGAATGCTTTGAAAAGCAAGACTTCCCTGTGCGGAGTGTGTGACAAGATCATTGGTCTTGCAGCCAGTGATTCAGCTTGCAAGTCGTTTCTCAGCTGGCCTTCAAGCATGTCAGCTGCCCTTGCTTGTAGCCATGCCGCTTTTCATTGCTCACCTTAGATCGGCAACTTAGGACATTGGACAGGCTTCAGAAGCTTGTTCAGGAAGTAGATCACAGCTATGAACAACTCGCAGAACTTCAGGCAGAGGGCGATACGACTGGATACACTGAAGCGATCTTCGGCCCGCATTATATAGCATATGAATCTACTTAATGCCGTTAATGCATCACTTGCTAGAGAAGCCATTATATAGACTCAAACTCCTGAAGCTACTGAGGATCAATTCGAAGTGCGAGGACCAGTTCAAAGAGCTCACCAAAACGATGCTCGCATGCAATCATCGTTAGTGTGTCAACTTCACAAGTGCATGCCATAGGTTGGGACGCTATTGATTGACCCATGGCATATCACTTGAGGATGTCCAAAGCCACAAGTTCACAGGCTGCAGCCCAGCACGTGGCCCAGAAAGTCAATGCATGCAGTGCACACAGAAAATTTGTATGGGTCGACCCTTGCATGTAATTGATCTCCGTTTGGATGGATTTTCTTTTCCAATATGACCCTGCCCAGGCACTTTGTGGCGAAGGCAAAAAAGGCCAAGCGTGTGAAGCCTGAGGACTAGCCGATGAATCTTCGAATCCAATTGTTTGGACTTGTGCCCTTGCAACAGCTTCATGGGTGCAATCTTTTGGGGGTGGCAGTCTGGGAAAGCATGTGGAATGTTGAGCACATGCAAATCAACCTGTGGCTGTCTGTGACTTCGATCGTCCGAGCGGGGAAAAGAATTGAAATCAATCTGGCTTGGGCTGTGGGGGATGTGCAAGTTGCATGTCCACAATGAGTGACAGGGCAACAGAATATCCTCATACTCATGTTGCATGCATCGTTGCAGAAGCGTGCATCAGCCAATCACCCCTCCCAAATCATTATTTAACTTCAGTGACATCCCATTCCCCGCAGGCAAGGAGCAGCTGAGCGACACGGTTCATCACATTGCCAAGATGTATACAAAGGGAGCACCTTGCCTTAGGCTAGCTCTCTGAAAAGTCAATGTGCTTTTCCAAGTCACATGGTCTTCCGACCCAAGAAGTGAAGCCAACCTCTAAAAACCTGGCCCCTATGTTCTTTTCCCAACTGAAGAATATTGCGCATGTTCTGTTTGTTTGTTTGTGTGTTTGTTCGTCTCTGTCTTTCCTCTATTGTTCTTTCTGTTTTTGCTTATCTCTTTTTGAGTAGTCTTTCTGTTTATGTGTTGTTTGCATGCTTGCTTCTGGGCTTTCATCTTCTAACCACAGACTTCTCATTTCCCGGCCTCTCTTGCCTATTCAAGGCACCGGCGCTGGATTGCGTGGAGGAAGCAAAGGCTGCAGCTAAGAAAGACAGCTGTCGCACTTTACATTGTATAGCGAAGGCTCGTGTTGAGAGTGCTGATGAGCCACTCTTCAATGCACTGGACAGAAGTGGTCTAGCGATGCGATTCCGGAGAGTCAGCCTGAAACTAGATGATGATCTGTCATACCCCTGCTTTCCTCCGAAAGAACAACTTGAAGCAATAGCAGCTGATGGCTTCTTTCACAAAGTGCTTGGCATGCCCGTGGCCTACTCGGACACTGTCTTGCCACGGTTTTGGGACAAGTACAGATCTATATACCCGGACCATGACATATTCCACCGTCAGCAGGACTTTGCACATTTGATCCCATATTACCTACATGGTGACGGGGGCCGGACCTACAAAAAGGATTCTATCATGATTCTGTCTATGTTCAGTGCTTTTGGAGAAGGCACGGCCAGGAATCCAGTCGAGTTGCAGCCCACACCAGGCAACTGCCGCAAGCGCCCACATCCACATGGCGCCACTGACTTTGAACCAGGGGTGAACTTGCGAGGGAACACATTGGCCAGCAGGTTTTTGTTTACAGCCATGAAATGCGATCTTTACAAGAAGAAAAAGCAGAGGTTTCAGACACTAGTGGACCAATGGGGCCAGTATTTGGGGGATCTCTACCACAATGGTTTCAATTTCAATGGTGAGGTCTGGAAAGTTGCTATTCTAGGGATGACTGGCGATGCCCCCTTTTTGAGGGAGGTCGGGAACTTCAACCGAAGCTTCTCCAATGTACAGAAGAGCGCAAGGTCTAGGGCACGACTGCCTGGTGTGTGCTGGCTTTGTGAAGCTGGAAAAACTGATGGGCCACCATTTGAAGATCCGCGAATCACAATGGCAGCATGGACAAGAACCTGCGGTCTCAACAACCCTGCACCTTGGGTTGAACCTGGGGCTTTGTTGCAATATGTGCCTGTGACCGACAACGACATAGCGTCCTTCTACAAACCAGATCTCTTCCATGTGTACCATGCTGGCATTGGCAAGGACTTTACAGGGTCAGCGTTGATTTATGTGGCAAAGTCCATCTTCAGGCGATCCCGTCTTCAATTGTCCATTGATGACATGAATGCTGAGTTGAAACAATATCTGAGGACTTCAGGGGAGAAAATGAACTTTGCCAACTTCACTTTGGAGCTGTTAGGGTATGGGTCGTCCCGCACTTACCCAAAAGGCCATTGGTCAAAGAACATGGACACAGCTACAGTCTCCAAGTTCATTGAGCACGTTTGTTGCAAACACGTCTTTGACTTCCCTGATGATCGTTGCATTGGTTTGATCATTGATGCCTGTGGAGCCATCCACCAATTCATGCGTGTTGTATTTTCAGCAGCATACTTTCTGACTGAAGAGGAGAGTTGGCAACTGATTTCCAGTGGGCATGCTTTCTTGTCCTGCTACACTGGGCTGGCCCAGGAAACGTTCAATTCTGGATTGTGTTTGTTTGGTTTGAAGCCAGTGTTACACCTATTTGCACATATCGTGCATAGCGCTTTGCAACAGTTTAAACGGAACTCTTCCGGAGTGGTGAACCCCATTTCTGAAGCCACCTTCATGTCAGAGGACCTTGTAGGAAGGGTGAGCCGGCTAAGCCGGCGTGTTTCAGCCAAACAACATGGTCACAAGATCATGTCAAGAGTCATGGTTGCTATGCACTACCATTTGCACCACCCTGCTGGCCTGGAGTTCTAGAAAATGTTTGCTGCTGGTTGTGTTTTGTTCTTCCTGGAGCTTGAGTCTTGGGATCTCTTGTTTTTGTGTTTTGCACAACGACCGCTTTTTTTCGAAACGTCCATGTTCTCAACAAAAGTGGCAGCCGACTGTTTTAAAGCAGGTGTTTGAGTTCATAGGTATATATTATTCTACCAGGGGCAGCTGCCTGATTTTTTGCAGGCTGCAGCTGTAGAAGAGGACGTTCTTCTACCAGGTGGTAGGCCTGGTAGACCTTGAGCCGCTCGGGGGGTCTCCAGGATCCGGTCCGTTCCAGGTCGTCTCGAAGGGCATCCCGCCCTTGAAGGATGCGCCCATCAACGAGCCGGAGGACTGGGATCTCGGAGGACTGGGGGTGGCGCAGGTGGGTGAGGTGATTTTAACAGATTTAGAGAGTCTTTTTAAGAGTGAGACCCTCCATGTTTACGCTGGAAGGGGCTTTGGTCCATTGTGGTGATTGGCCACACGTCGATTGACCAAAGATTCCCCGGTTTTGGGCGCACACACATCCGAGAACCATGTGTGTTGAACGAGGTTCCAGCGTCCTTCCCGGGCGTAACAGCCGCGTTTTGGGCACGTCGACTGGTCGTGTCCAGCTGGCGTCGGCGTGGTCCGAACCTGCAACGGGTGAGGGACCTTGGACCTTTGACCTCCATAGGACTGCCATAGGACTGCCACCCCATTGACCCCCTGGCACCACCCCTGGCCTGATCGGAATCAATGGCAGTCCCATGGGTCGTGTGGCCAGCTTGGGATGCTGGGTCATGACCATGCCGCTTGATCGGTAGGACCATGTGAAGGCGGCAGCTGCCTGGTCCTTGGGCCAGATTGGCTCGGGCTCCCGGAGGAAGGGAGCTGCCAGCAGGATGGCGGAACGGCCTGTTTAGCGAAGGCGTTGGTTTCTGCAGGATGCTTGATGACCTGTTGGCATCCTTTCTTTGATTGGATCTGGTGGTTTGTTCATGGATCCTGATTTTTTGGGAGCTGGGGGCCGTAGAGCGGGGACATTTCGTGAGGTAGGGTCAAGACGGAGGGGCTTTGGATCAAAAGGACGCAATCTGCAGATGGGGATTTAGGTTTAGATGGTTAGTTTCAGGTTGTTTGACAGATAGAAAAGAACATCTCAAACACCACGTGCCAAGACCGGTCACCCAGGATGACCTTTGGCACCTGGGTCCTGGCCGCCAGCCAGATCTGTCCTTCCTTCGTTTTGGCATGCTTTCGCTGCGGAAATGCAAGAGGGTTCCATTCCATGTAGGCCATGCATGAAGCAACACGCAGATGGGGCATTTGCTTCCTCCCAGATTTGGCGTCCACTCTGGATGATCTGCCAACGTGGGGTGTCCACTTTTCTTTGGCAGACCTGGGTGGCAGACCATGTGCTCCTACTCGCTATAGCTGAGCCACAGGTCGGCATAGTCCGGATCATGCCCGTGCGTTGGCGGAAGCAGATGTGCTGAGAAGGCGCGCGCTCTGCCCCCCGCGGCGCGGTGGACGGCGTTGGGGGGACCTTTGGAGGCGAAGTTTCGCCATGTGGACGACCTGAGGTCCTCGAATCGTAGGGGGAGTTGTGTCATGTTGCCGTCCAAATCCATTAAATTAAGATACCCTAGGGATCCGGTCGTACCTCCTCAGAAGGTATTTGGACCCTCCAAACCTACTTACATAACAGTGTCTCCGTCCTCACCTTCTGAGGAGGTACGACTGGAGCCCTAGGGATAAAGCTTGTAGACTTCCAAACATGTTGAACGTGTTCAACTAAGTGGGGTGTGGTTCGCTCATGGGAGCCCGATGTCGTGGCGAAGCCGGGCTGTTCGAAGCCGCACCTCCCAGAAGTGCAGGTGCCTGCCTGGCTGCCAGTTGACCGTTGCAGACCCTTGCAGATATCATTTCCAACGCCTTGCTGGCACAGAACCTTCAAAAGGCTTCTGACCTGAGATGCTTTCTGGTCTTCTCCGTTGGTTCCACCTTCCACCTTTGCGTTTCCCATTGGCAACCACACCTTCGAGGAAGTCCAGTTCGACTCTATTTAACTCCGACTGAAGTGTTTATAGGACATTCCCTTTCAACCAGGCCTCCAACGACTCGCCAGATCCGACATAGGGGTCTCGTCATTCTTCTCCGTCCCGTCCGTGAACGCACGCCGGTGCATTGTCTCCCTCCGGTTCCCAGGATTCTGGCGGTGTACCTCCATCAGGAGCACGCCCGGGCCACGGGGCGATGCGCACTTAGGATGGCCCTGAGGAGGGCGGGTCCGTTAGGCCGTTCGGCCGACCGGAACATGGGGTGAATCGGTGAGAAAACTTCCCAGACCACATGGGGCGACCCGGTTGACCACCGAAGGAGGGGTGGTTTTGGGACACCACTTATGGTAACCTCAGACCAAGGCTATTAATAGACACCTCAGAAGGAGAGCTCCTGAAGGGCGGGAAGCAATGATGGTTTCCGCAGTTTTCCACGGCCAACGACGACGTCCACGAGACGCACGACTGATGGCCTTTGGCATCCTGGTACTAGTCCCAGACACTGCATGGGACTGCCATAGATGGCCTACAATGGGTTGGTTTGGGAGCGTTTGGGATTGGTGGGTTGATTCACACAGCAGCCCTTTTCAGATGCCGCCAAGACCCGACTCTTGACCCTGCTATTCCCGATTCAAGGGCGGGTCTTTTGGCACTTCAGCCCTTGGACTTATATAGGCAGTAGACTACATGTGCCTAACCTACGCAAAAGGAGGCGGCACCCATCAACAAGTGAAAAGCGTTTAAACACATCGTCTCTCTCTCAGGACCCCCTTGGAAGGAAGGAAGGAAGGCCCACGGTGCGTCCAGTTCCCACCGGCGCCTTGCAGGATTCCAGTGAAGACTTGCAGCTCAAGGCGAAACGCGCCCTGCCCCTCGGCACCCGACCCGCTCGCACGCACCGGCGGAGGCCGAAGGCATGGAGAACCATGGGGAGCCGGTGGATCGGTGGTAGTCCGGGGACGTTCTTTTTTTTGGGGGGGGGGGACCAGGGGTGGTGGGAGGGTTTTTTTTTTTTTTGTGTGTGTGTGTCCTTTCTTTGGGGGGGGAGAGGGGAGAAACTTGGAGAAACCACTCAAAGTGCACCAGATTCAATGAAGGAGGGGAGGGATTTGGATGATGCGAAATGCAAAACTGTCTCTGTTAAAACCTGGAAACCAAGTGGAGAGTGGTAGCGGGGGCTACGAACCACATATATTGGAGAAGGGTGCCCCAAGTAGGGATGGGATTAACATGATGCTGGGCTTTCCAGCTCTGCTTCCGTTTGTCGAAACTGGGTGGGGGTTCATTTGTTTTACGTCCGCATGGCAGGGATTTTTTCTTTTGTTAAAATATTTTCCCTATGGGATCCTATGGGTGAAAGGTCCCCTGGTGGAGGAAAATTTGTTTTTTTCCAGGTTCCTGGACCAGCTCCAAGTATTATAGGACCAGGATGTGTTTTTCATGTTGGCCCCCCTCATCTCTCGGACACCTGGCTTGGACTCCGCCATGGTGTGTCCTTTGAGTAGTGATGCCGCCGTGGTGCTCACTCATGCAGATTATTGTTGACAGACCCAAGGACGAATCCGTCAAGTCGTGGAGGCTTCCTGGATGAAGAGTTGTGGGTTCGATCGGTTGGTCACCCCACGAAGCCTTGACTCCCCACCGAAGGCCTGCCGAAGCGCTTCCTTCCGCTCAATTTCGAGGGAAGGAAGGCGAACCTCCCAAACCTGCCAGAACCCCCCCCTCTGTAGGCCCCCTGCAGCGGAGAAAGGCCATCCAGTAGGACGTCCAGAGACGTTCGGTCCTCGCAACTCGCAAGCGCCGTGCTTCTCGCCCCGAGCGAGCGAGCGAGCTGTCGCTCAGGAAGAGCGTCGTGCAGAAGTGCACCCATCTGCCAGCGCTGGAGCCGCTGCTGGACTCGCCACCCAACATCCTCAAGCATCTCGGGACCACTTCGCCCAAAAGGTACAGTAGTACGTCGATGTGGAGGATCCCAGCCACATCGTTCTTTTTGTATTTTTGTGTGTGTGGCTTCAGGGAGGAACATCGATTTTTTTTGAAGGCCTGGAAGAGACCGGAACAGCAGCCGCGATGAGAACATCCAATCTGGACAGGTATGGTAGTGTTTGACAAGGCTTTGAACAACTGATGCTTTCAGTGCAGTCCCAATTTGCTTCGAAACATGTGAACACACTTAATGGTTTGACGCTTGTGTCAAATGTTTTGAGATCCACACTTGTCTTAAGATTGATTTGGAAGGTGAAGGTGTCCTCATGTTGAAACTAGAAAGCCACTTGATGCGTTCCAAAGCCCAAAAGATTCCCCACCTGAAACGAACGCGGCAGTCCCGGTATGAGCAGTCGCTGACCATCCGAGGTATGTCGTCCAGCAGTTCGCGAAGGTCTTGCCCAACAACGTGGAAGCGAGAAAAGCCTTCGTTCAGTCTGGCAGCCTTCAGAAGCTTCAGGAGGTGTGCTGCAGCTTCCCGCGGGAGCATGTGTCTCATCCAGACAGATCGACCGACAGAAGACACCCGGGTGACTGAATGTGTATACATGGTGCGGATGTGGGGAACGGAGATGTTCTCACCCTAGATGACACAGAAGCCGTGCAACCACCGCGTTTTCCACCGCGCAATCCACGTGAAAACTGTCCACGGTGGCGGGGATCGGGGATCCGGAGGCTGGCCGAAGAAACATGCGTTGGTCTCCAACTAGTCCAAGTCTTGTTTGTAATCGACCCATGATATGACAGATTCATGACAGATGCGCTTCGTTATAGGCATATCATATCAGTTTATAACGACATGATGTAGGACTTTTCTTCTTTTTTGAGAGTCAAAGATTACAAGATAGTCCTTAAGGGAACCTGAACATGGATTTCCCGTACCTCGCAAACATAGTAATATAATCATATCAGGAAATAGCATAGACTTTGGATTTCTAGCCGCGGCTTCGTTCGGCTCGGGTTTTGCTGGCTATGCCCAAATCAATTCGGAAGACTGCAGGGATGTGCAAGGTTGAGTGACTGGGACACCCCTTTCCATCCTTTTTGGATGAGGGTTCAGCTCTCACAGCCCATTTGGTGCCAATGAGTGAGGCGAGCTTCACTTGGGCCACAAAAAGCTTCGACGGACCGGGTCAGGGGACGAAGTATCATCATCGGACGTCAGGCACGCATCTTTTTTCCATTACAAATATCTACAGACCTGGTCGCAGACACTTTGGCTTATGCAACGAAAACCACATGCTCACACACATGTGACATCATATATGGCATCATAGGACACATACACCCTAGGCTTCCAACAACCATTAATTTCATAGGCTGAATCCCGAATCAACTAAGGATGTTATACTACAAAGACCAGGTCGTTCCCATTTTTTAAAGGCCAGACGGAAGTCTATAGGGTACATATACCTGCTGACCTAGACAAGACCTGGCTCCACCAGGTTACCTTTGGACCAGACCTGCCCTGGTCGGGCGCGGTCCGGACCCCGCGCGCGGGCGCGTCGTGGCAGGTGCAAGCGGAGAGCGGCTCCAAGCTGCAGGATGAGCAGGGATGAGATGGTCGGAGATGGTCGGAGGTCGGTGGGGTGGTGGAGGTCGGTGAAAAGATCCACGGCCCCCATGTGGAACTGTAGCTATGGCAGTGAGCAGTATCTGAGATTAGCCTAATTGAGACTTTATTTTGTCTATATAAGCTATGAAGAGGGACATCTCAGATCTCAAATGGTTCGACCCATTACAGCCCTTCTCAACTAGCCTCAACTCAAGAACTGGGAGTGAGGAGGCAGGTTCTGCGGTGAGGTTCAGGTCTCCAAGCAAACCTTCTTGCCCCATCCTTGGACCCAACCACTTCGCAGGGGTCGCGGACCCAGGGGTCGCCAACTCGATGATGTGACTTCTCAGGGTGGGAAAAACCAAGGTGTGGGGAGACTTCGGACGGTCCACCAGAGTGGTGTCCCACAGCGAGTTCTTCGCGTCCGAGACTTCCGAGACGGGTCGCTTGCCTTTGTTTTTCGGCCATCAGTTTGGGATGCCGATCCTTCAACCAATCACCGAACGGCGGAGAACAACCCAGCCGAGCCGCTGATGTGCGCGTCTTCAGCGCGTACCGACGCTGAACGCAAGGTTTGATGAGATCCCAGCTGAGATCCACTCATGTAGAATGTTGATTCACAACACCAACTGGGATCTCAGCTGAAGAACTGAAGAGGATCCAACTTTTCTTTTTCTCTTGAGATCTTGATTCCCAGTTGATTCACAGCCGCCCCCCCAGGTCTGAAGAGGTTTTATGATGGTTTTACGATGTTTTCTTTTTCCATTTTTTCTGGGCGGTTTTATCAATGATGATTTTAAACCTTATAGATGACCAGTATTTCCAAAGACTGAAGCCATAGACCGTCGGGCCCCTGGTTCAATCCTTGGATTGCGTGGGATCGTCCAATGGAGGCCCCCGGGATGATCCGGAGTGGTCGTGCGATGCCGGAGTGGAGGCTCTCAGTGAAGAAAGATTTTTCGTGCTTCCAAGGAATCCCCAGACCTCCGACACCTCACGTTCAAAGCTACTAGAGGTTGGAGGCCATCGCTAGTAGGTTGGAGGCCATCGCCAGTGTCTAGGACGCAACATTTGATCAAGTGAAGAAGCTTCGCCAACTACCATTTAAGCGCCAACTACCGTGCACAGACAGTTCAAGAACCTCAAACTAGCATGCTTGTAGAAGGAGGTGGCATGGGGCTTTCATATTCATTATGTAGAAGTTAAGTGAAATCATCAACATTCTGCGGCCTTCGCTGAATTTCAAGTTACATCGCATTTGTCTCTCGCTGTGATGGGCGAGCTCGCGGGTAAGACTGCGATCAACTGCAGCAGGAGATGGTGGATACCATCAACTTGCAATACCCTCCGGAGATTGTGCAGTACTACTCGCCCAATTACGTGGGGAAGCTCAGAACATCATCCTCTAATACTAGCTGCACAATGCTGTACAAGTTGTAATCTCCAGCACCACCCAGTTAGGGTAGTGTTATAGACTCATAGACCCCCCTGAAGATGCATTTCCATCTAAGAACCACCCGACCTGGGTGGTGCTGGCTGAATCAAGATCAACTTCAAGGTCCCCAAGAGGCGAGCCAGAGCTTCTTCGCATGGTTCTTTGTCTTTGAGGTGTTTCGTCTAGACTTCGACGCTTCGTGCAAGGCCCTAGGAATGCAATCCAAGCACCATCCGACTTTTTCGAACGGTTTTTAGGGGAACGCCCATTGCTTTACCTAAGGATCTTAGACCGACCAAAACCCAGGTCAAACCGTCCTTCGACGGGTCTTGGAAGACGGAAAGGACCCCCAGGAGTTAGGTCCTCGGTTCGGGCCGTACCTTTCTTTTATAAAGATTCACATGGTATTCACATACCCAGACACGACCCGTCTGGGACTGCCATGTCGGACTGCCGAGTTTCACGGCCGATCGGGGTGGAAAAGGGGGGGTCTGTCTGGGGCGGCAGTCCTATGGCAGTCCCATGGAGTGTTTGGGATAGAGTCTTGATGAATGAATTTCCCCTTCCCATTTGAAGTGTGAAAGCTTCTTTTGGAGGCCTGCCTTTCATGTCCACATTTCCACTCCCTTTCAGCACCCCTTTCTTCCGCCCCACACACCACCGCTCACCCTGGGTGACACGCAGCCCACCGTCCCAGCAAAAGGCGCGCCCAAACTTCCCTTTCGCGCCCAAACCAGCAGCCGCGCGGGCTCCGTGGCGTGAGGCTCAGGCGTTGTTGGAGAAGATGGAGGACTTTGCCCCAAAGGGCTGAGAGGCGGGTGCCGCGAAAGCCGGGTGCGCGGGTCCGGGTCCGTGGGCTGGGAGAAAGCGGGTCGGGGTTCGGGGGGGGGGTTTGAGGTTGGGAGAAAGATGAGAAAGACCTATAAGACGTTTGGAGGTCAGGAGATGTGTTGGTGAGGTTTTGCCATGTTTTGCCTGGATAACATTGGATAACCACAGAAAATCTCTCTTTGGTCTTCGGAATAGGTTGGAACTCGGGAAAAAAAAGCTGGGTCATGGAAAAGTGGCCTCAGCTGGTGGGTCCATACAACATCGTTTACCCTTCTCTTTTTTTAAAAAACCAGGTGGCCCTTTTTCCAAATGAAATAGTTATATAAGGTTCCTATTTGCTCACTCCAAATAGTTATATAGTTGCTCAATAGCAACTCCAAAGATTTGGATCATGTCACACAAGTGGCACATACGGGCCTTTCTCGGCTTCGGCTTCGGTCGGTCTGCGGGTTCGGTCTGCGGCTTCCGGATGGATCCCACCGGTGGCCTGGTCTTGGCTTATGACTATAGCATGACTACATATACAACTATAACTATATGTTATATAAAAAATATAATAGTAATTATATTAGTTAACTGTTATACTACTGTTTATATAACTGTTATATAAATATATAATTACTATTATAAACATATAGATACTATATATTAGTTATATACCTGGAAACCCAGCCCCAACCAGAAACAAGTGGTGTTCCAACATGCTAAGTGAGATCCTTTACATAGGAAGTGGCCGAGACTGAGAAAACATCTATTTGTTTCTGGTTGTTTGGATTTCCAGGATATCTATCTATCTATCTATCCTTCCATCTACATAAGGGATCTCGCTAGAATCCCCGAATCAGCATCCCTGCTTCAACTGCTCAACCCTCATTGTACAAGATCTGTCCGGCTAGACCTCAGGCATTCTTCAGGAAGCAGGACAGGCATGTCCGCAAGTCATCGACCACTTGGGCAAGAACTGAAGATCGACGATCTTGGATGTCTTACCATAACCCAGACACGACTAATGGGACTGCCGCCCCATTCACCCCCCAAACTACCACCGCTGGCCGTGAAACTCGGCAGTCCCATGGGTCGTGTCTTACCATAATTGAATAATTGAACTCCCTTCCTGGGAAGATGTTTTGCGCTCCCCACAGCCGCGAGCGCTCCAAGTCCCTCCGGCCCCCTGCCGCGCGCGAGCGGGCCGAGCGAGCCGCTGCCGAGCCAGGGTCTGAGCTGCTGGCGCCCACCCGAGGACCTGAATTGGCAGATCTCGGAACCACCTAGGCCGTTTGCCTCGGAGTTCCAAACATGAATTCGATGACGCTTTTGGTCGAATGCGCAGCTTGCGCGAGGTCAGGTCTAGCGCGGCATCTCAGATCAAACACACACGCTTGGGAGAGAAGAAGGATCCAACTGAGGACGTTTACTCCGCTTTTTGGGGGAGATGGCCTTGGCATTTGACCGCGGAAAATGCAGAAAAAGCTTTGGGATAGACCTTCTGATGCTCAGAAGATCTCAGACGGTTTTGGTCAATGACCTCTGGTCCGTTTGGACACACCGCCATACCCGAGCTCAGAGCTCCAAGGTCACTCACTGCCCCGAAAACCCAAGCAAGGCCGCCGATGCTGGCTTCTACTAGCAGCCTAGAGACAACTTCCATCGTTTGGCCGTGTAGCCGAATGCTTCAGTGGCCCTCCCTCTGCTGGAACATCTGGAATGTACTTAGATGGAACACAGGACACATGATGCCACCTCTACCAGGCCACTGTTTCCAATGATCACCAACATCAGCATCATGTTCATCGCCATACATGCCGTAGTACTTGATCTCCCAGGAAGAGGGCTATCACAACCTGCTCCCCCTCAAGAGCCCTCGAAATGGCCGCTTGCTCTTGACCCTAATTCATCCCTTTCGACTGGTCAGCGGGAGACGGCGCGCCATTTCTCGCATGAGCCTCCTGGCAGCGGGAGACGGTGCTCGGAGAGCACAGGTGACTTCACGTTTTTGGAATATTCATCCCATGGTAAGGAAAGAAACGGCTGGTGCCATTCCGTCTGAAACCACTGACTGCAGTCACGACTTTTTGTCATTTCCCCAAGCAGCGGAAGGTGGTGGAACAAGGGAAAGTACTGAGGGGACAGGGTGGTCATCCCATTCCCCATCAAGATGCTTGAATCATTGTAAACCAATATAGACCAGCACCTTCAAAGGGGTCACCAAGCCCTACACTACTGGACCTCCCGGTCCAGGGAGCTGGAATATGTTGAAGAGGGGGCCTCAACGGATACGTCCGGTGCCATGGGGCTCATCTGAACTCCGCCAGCAACCGAGCCACGAAAGACTTTCGTTCAAGGACGCTGCCGGAAGGTGGAAAGCCCGTTGGGCAGAGGCTTTTTTTTTTCCAAGTCGGTGGGATGGCACTGCAAGTGCTCCCCCTGTGCTGCTGCGAACGCGAACGGCAGGGCGCCGGGAGCAAGGCATGTCCTTTCCATAGAATTGTAAGTTATCTAATTTATCTATGAATGGAACTGGTGAAGCCAGCGCCCCCCCATTGCTTTGGACGAAAGGATTCGCTGGCTTGGAGGTTTCCATGGATGTCCATGGCGAACAACTACACATCCAACGATAGCGGGACTGGAGTACACCATGCACTCAAAAACAGCTTGGGCAAAATCAGGGAAAAGGACCCACGATCAGCAGCAGCCCCCCTTCGTCGAACAGCAGCAGCGTAACCATAGCCACCTGAACGTCCAAACAATCAGAAATTACACAGAATGCTTCCCCAAACAAGTAGCCACTTCCTATCCCACAGGTTCCATGTATGCCATATATGCCAGCCCATTGACTTAGACTCAGACAGTCCAAACAATCAGAAGTTAGACAGAATGTTGTCCCCCCCCCCCAAAAGCAGCCATTTCCTAAGTTCCACTGCCGAGCTGTTGACCTGGTTTGGACGGAATGTGAACGGAACGTCTCGCCCCACGATAGTCTCGCCCCACTGTGGTGACACATCACTGAGCAGTTTAGACCTTTTCTGTTCGCTTGACATCAGATTCCAAGCGAATGTCATGAAAGCTGCCTCCAGATGGATAGAACATGATGGAACATATACGCGACATGCGAAACAACAAGTCACCTCCCTTGAAACCGTGCCCTTGTCACCTCCTGGTCCTTGATTCGGCCAAGCGTCAAAACGACCAGCGTCCCGTTCGAACCACATCTCCCACGCCGAGCCGTCCGTGTTCGTAGACCTCTCCGCAGCGGAGGAAAGCAGCGAAGCTGCTTGTAGATCTGGTCCGTTGGCCCGACGGAACTTCTTGGGGCCCAAAGGTGTCACCCGCATGGCTGAGGAGGGAGGAGCTCCACCCGGAGGAGGGAGGCAGCAGTGGATAGGCATGGCGTGGTGACTGAGAGGTCTTCACTTGAGACCCCAAAAAAGAAGAACGCCAGGGGATAGCGTGAGGCAGATGTGTGAGTCCAGCTTCCTATCCTGTTCAGTGGATAGGCTTACTCTTTCAGCGATTGTGGGAGATTGGTGGACCTTTTTTTTCCCTCAACTGCGGGCATCTGCAGACCATGTCCTTCGTGGGACATTGCACTACGTCACTACGAGTTAGGGATCGTGAATCTGCGATGGCTCAAGAACTTTGGGGTCCAGTCATTGACCTCAGCTTGGGTCTGTCCTATTCCCTGTAACCGTCGGTATATAAACAATTTTAGAGATGTTGGCCTGCAACCAAACGATCATCATCCATGGAAACCTGGTAATAGGACAGACTTCAATAGCATAACCCAAAAAGGTCCTCAAAAGGCACGGCTTTTCGGGAAAAAGCACCAGAACCACTCCCCCCCCTATGTTGCGATCCAACCATGTGCTGACGTTCTCCAATGCTGGCTGCCCCTGTCGTGCGGAACTTCCGTCCCATCCCTCCCAGTTTCGCACAGAAACATCCGCGCCTGTCCGACGACCGCCGGGCGAAGCGGGGCGAAAAAGCATGCGCGGAGAAGCGATCGAAGCCCGAGCCTGGAGGTTCATCGTGGTCCGAAGCTTGCTAGAGGTTCCGTGGAAACGGGTCGCATACTTTTGGTAGAGCTGGCATATGGTTCTTTAGAAAAACAACACGTTAAAGAAGCAAACAGACTAAGTCAGTCCCGTCATCGATTTTTCTTGGACCGATGTGACGAAAAGCCCTTGTAGAAAGTCCGGACTGATCCTCGGTTGCTCTGATTCTATGATAGGCCTCTGTACTGGGTGGATCAGATCCATGGGGTCTGACGTAAGACTTGATCCAGGTATTCCCTGGGAGTCAAAGACTATCAAGAGAAGGGTCTTGAAAGGTGACCCGAGTTCAGGAATATGCTTTACTCCAGTGGGGCAAAATATCGTCTTTAGACGTTTCAGTGGGTATTTCTATGAAACGTCAATCTCGCTTCGCTCGCAGGTGGGCCCCTTGATGAATCCATTTCACTTCCGCACCGAGCACCGACGACGTGCGTCGTGCGTCGTCCCGTGGTTCGGGGAAGCGGCCCAGCGTCGCGTCCAGCGTGCGTCGTTGAGGCCTGAGATGCTCTACATCAACATGATCGAGCGGTCCTCAGTTTCGTTTCATTTGTCTCCCAGGCTGGGTTCTTGTGGTCGGGTTCCCGGCTGGCTTGTCTCCCACTTCCTGTGCTTTTGGGGGTTCCGCTCGAACGTTCGAAGCACAGTTTGCTACACCCCACCCCTCCTACAGCCCGATGCTCAACGTGGAGTTGGCTTTTGGGGATGGTGTGGTCCTGTAGAATGCATTCTGGCACGTGCCTCTGTTTCTTTCGCTCGAACACAGCGCCGCTAGCTACTTGAACTGTTTGCCAAGAATCCAAGTGGCGCTTCGGCCTGGCTTTGCTTAGGGTCATTTTTTGTTTGTGTTTACTTTCCTTTGGGGGATCGTTTCCTTTTCTGGTGGATTTTCAATACGTTTTCCCCGGTTCCTCATGTAACTCCAAGTAAGTCAACGTGACTTCCATTGGGGCCGTGTGGGCCCAGATACTCATCGAGATGGCCGGGCAAACAAGAGGTTGACTCCAAGGAAAACGTCGTAACTTGCTGCACCTACTGGCTGCCATGTATCATTTGCATGCCAGGCCCTCCCCCAAGAGTTGCATCTATTATGCAGTTCGTTTTGTGTGTGGCGCCATCCTCCCGGACCTAGCTTCATTGGACCCAGCACAAGGACGAAGAACTTCAACCCTTTCCCGGAACCCAAGCGCTGCAAAGGCAGAGGTTTTGAAGAGGCTGGCTAAACGACCAAGGGCTGGTCCTACCATGTTCGATCCTTTCCCTCCTGCCGTGCTTGCCGTTTGCCATCCTTCAGTCTTCACAAAAGGTAAGTCAAAAATTAGACTCACACAGTTGATCAAGAATTGACATCCCAAACATCTAACATCAACATATTTCTGCTCATGCATCTCAACAAGTACAGTAAGTACCTTTCCCCAAAAAACACCTGAATGGAAACAGCGCATGAGACATGCTCAGTGGCCGTCAGGCTGGCAGGGGCCCTAACAGTTCTTCTGGGGTTTGTGGCTGCGGGTGATCCGCCAAACTGGGGGTTGTCGTTTTCTGGGGGCTCTCTGACAGGAGGTGTAGACTGGTAGCCGCACAGGATTGCCATGGCCCATTTCCCTCTGGGAGCCGTTTTCATGAGCTGATGGTCTGGGAAGGGGGCTGATCACCCATCCCAAGGCGCCTGGGGGGAAGCTGGACCTGTGGAACGCGGAGAACTCCTTCGCCAAGGCGCTGGAGGGACTCGCAGAAGCCTGAGGTTCAGACTGCCATGCCGAGACTTTGAATGACGAACTTTTTCATGTGGGGGTTGCGGCCCTGGAAGGTGGGAAAGAAATCCCTCTCCCAAGAAGCCCTCCGCCTGGTCTTCCGTGTCCGTGCGTTGCGCCGGGACCGGCGCTGGGACCGGTCCACGCTGGTCCGGTCGGGCGGCCGGCAAGGTGCAACCCTGCGACTATGTGGCGGAGGTGAACGGCGAAAGTGGCGTGGAGGTGGGCGGACCCGCTATGCCGCTATCGTCGTCCTTCATTGGATTAGAGCGGGGGGGGTATCTTACGAAGCCGCGGCTACAGGTGAAACCCTGAGAGACGGGATTTATATGGACAACTCTGATATGGAGAACTTTGGACAGGCAATGTGTATTGAATGCCGCCAGAGCTAAGCTGCCAGATTGGGTGGATGTTCCATGACTTTTCGATGCTTCTAATCCAGAAATTGGACGCTTCACCGTGATTCGGCTATAGCTGTTGATGTTCAATCGGACTTCACCGGGGTTGCTTGGTTTAAAGTGCATATGGTCATTCCAGCTGGAAGAAATCCCAAGGATCCAAGGATCCCACTTCAATGCAAGAAACTTGCGG